GGAACGATTGTTCCAGCCAGCATAGCTCGATTGGATCATCACGATAGGCAAGCCCGACCACCACGTCAAGGTAGCAGCAACGGTCGGGGGGGGGTAATTGTGTGAATATATTTGTATCCAATGAGAGGTCTCTGTGGTATGCACACGACTAAAGTAACTGAGGGATAGATGTACTTTATCTAGGCTTTCTTACACAGGTAGTGTAGTACTGCTACCTCTACCTAATCTTGAGATGACGCATTTCGTCTAAATCCTTTGTCCAATATACGAATGTAGCCGTACTGGGCGTTCCATATTGTTCTTAATAAGATTTCATTCTTATGAATTTTTAAACTTGCGTAAGTTTGGGAAAAAATATTTCGAACTTCCCAGTTTTGAGATTCTGTCTCATTATTACCTAGTGACGTAAAATTGCACATTATTTTTCTTTGGGGGAAAAAGGTACAACCCTTCTCACTGAACCAGGGTGAGGATTTTCTCCTATTCCTTTGTTTAGTCCAAGGAACATGTGGAGCAGTAACTTTTTATTACAAATTTCTGAATATAATTAAAGTCGTTTTCATGTGGATCCTAGCTCTACCATCCTGTCTTCTGAGGACGCTGGATGTACAGATTATTGTATATCTGATTTCCAAATGTCTAGTTCGACTTTGGTAGAAAATTGTTGTGACAATGGTTTGAGGGTCGTGTCTTATCTAGTTACCTTGTTCACATGTTACAGTGAGGCACGTGAAATAATCGCGTCAACTAACCATAGCTCGGAAGAATTCTCTAACATCTCACCATTTATATTTTTACAGTCTGCCATGGGTGCACCGATGTTTCCCAAAGCCAAACATTGGTCATTAGTGCACTAGATCTTAGATCCGCTAAGCAAGACGTCCTTCACATGACGGTTTGGATCACAGTAGACCTAATCAACAGGCAGCCTTTGTGCCTTGGATTTGGGGCAGAGGAGAACTAATTCGAGTAGCCCATATTCATGGAACATGTCATTGATAATTGTAGAAGGAATAGTATTTCTAATGAGCTAAGCTAATCCTCCTTCGCGCTTCTGAGTTTTGCCTAGAGATGCCGATGTGGAATTTTTAAATTAACGTCTTCTTTCGACCATAGGTTAAATTATCCATGTTTTTGTGAAAGCTATTACATCGAACCTGGCAGAATCTAACTGTAGATCTTGCTCCGGTTGCTTGTTGAGAAATTTCAGGGCATTTTTATAACAGATTTGGGGACCATTGAAATCTCTTCGTGTTGCACCATAAATGGCTTTGGCATCACCATCCATCAAGAACTCATCACGCAACAACCTACAAATCCGGAGTTTTTCACAACCATCAAATCGTTGCATAAATTCTTCCTGTTTTTTTATTTTCCATAAGCTCAAGAGCCAGTAAGTCCTGATCCCCTCGGTTTATATTTGTTCTGGAGTAGTCCCTTAAATTAAGAGATCCCACTTTTCTCGAGGTTGTCTAACTGCCTAGTCCAAAAAGATTTGGCAAGATGACATCAGAGATATCTTGAGGCATAAGGTGGTTACCTAAACCTATTATCATACTCAGAGAGGATTCTGAGTCCGGGGCTTTCGAACTCCTTTACCTTACGAAAGACTTAAGAGCTGACATTGTGGCCAACCTTTGATTTCTCAGCTAGGATTAAGAAATCTTTCTTTTCTTCCTAGATATTAAGCTGTTTCATACATTTAATTTTGTTCCACTCATCCATATTTACTAAACTTTAGTCACAGTTGCGTCGTATAAAACTCCGCCTGTAGATCTAGTGTCACTACAGATTCCAATACCGGGTAAAGGATGAGGGTCGGGCATGGAGTTGGCAACCTCATCCCATAGAAAACAACACGGTCACAAGGCGAGAAATGAGATCGGTGATATAACAGCAGTAGTTGGTGAAATTGAATGTGGTGTCTCATTCGTGTTTAAAACTTTTCGATGTAAATGTTATCTCACATATCGTCATAATTTAAGTTTCATAGAAATTGACTGGATGGAGGAGGTATCATTGAGTGACATGCCACTGAATTTTATTTGTTCAAAAATTTCATTTTCAACTCAGACAAGCAGTAGTGCAACAATAGACTTTCCCATCAGTCGCCTAAATTAAAAAAATAATCATCGAGCGTTTGTGAAATCAGTACATATATAAGTGTTTCATATTCTCTTCAATTGCAGCTTTTTCTGTCGTTTTTGCTAGTTTTTCCACGTATTTCTGATTGTTGGCTATAATTCTCTTCTTCACTTTCTTGTTTGATTCTGTGTATTCAGCTTATCACTTGACTTTATTTGGTCTTCTCCGGCTGTTGTTAAATGCCGTCTTCTTGTTCTTCCTCTCTTGAATATTGCCCAGGGTTTCGGTAGATTCATTCCCTATGATGATGATCGTCGCGGCCCAGCACCTCCTGGCACGTTGGAGTTAGTGCTTCTTCGATCCTTTTCCAATTGTCCTCAATAATAGTTTTTTCTTCTGTGAGAAAATCTTCTACGACTTCAAATTTGTTGTTGAGGACTATTTAAATTGGTCGAGTTTGTCCAAATTTCGAAGAGAGGCTGTATTGAACCTTTGTAACGCTGTTTATCCAGTTGTCCAATGCTTCTTTAACTTTATTTCCATCTTGACAACCACCAGTTGGTGGTGATTTGAAACCATGTTAGGTCCTTCTCCTGTTCTCACATCTTCTATTGACCATATGAATTTGTAATTGATACAAATATGATCGATTTGGTTTTGTGTACTGTGATCCGTTGAAGTCCATGTAGCTTTGTTTATGCATTAGTGTGGGAATATTGTGCCACCTATAACCATTTTGTTAAACGCACATAGATTGGCAAATCTCTCCCCATTTTCATTTCTCTCTCCTTGTCTATGTCGTCTCATGATATCTTAATATCCATTGTTGTTCATTTCGACTTTGACGTTTAGGTCTCCCATCAGGATGGCGAGATTCTCTCTTGTGCACTTCGCTTTGCAGCCTATCGTGAAAATGATCTTTATAGTCGTCATTACTACCATTGGTGGGTGAATAACAATGTATAACGTTCATCGTGATTCCCTTCTTCTTTGTTTTGAAGGGTGCTTTGATGATTCTGGATCCATGAAATTCCCATCCTACAAGTGCAATTCGTGCCTCTTTGGACAGTATCACAGCAACATCCTGAGTGTGTAGAGCATTTTCCTCTTTGTGAGCGAAGGTGGCAGCAACTGATTGTAAAATAAGTAAAATAGTTCTGAAATGTTTGGTTTAACAATGTGGGACTAGAACAATGAGTGGTTTATTATAAATATTAAGATGAATAGCAGTAAACTTTGGCAAATAGTTTGCCATATGACAAGGGATGCTTAAGATGGATACGAAGACATCATGAGACTACATGGACTGGCAGAAAGGAACGAAAATGGTGAGAGATTTGCAAACCTATATCCCTTCAACAAAATGGTCATAGGCGATATCATATTCCCACACAAACGCATTCACAAAGCCACATGGACTTCAACGGATCACAGTACATAGAATCGAATCTACCATACCTGCATCAATACAAAGTTCAGAAGGACGATGGAGGACGTGAGAACCAGAAAGAATCTGATATAACCTCAGATCATCACTTGCTGGTCGCCAAAATGGAATCGAAACTCAAAAAGATCCCAAAAGCGGTGCGGGACAACACCACAAACGTTTAATACGGCTTTTCTGAGAGATAATGACAGGCTCAAAGAATTCAAGACAGCCCTCAGAAATAGGTTTTAGGCCTTTCACGATCTATTCACTGTAGAGGGAACTACCATGGAGAACAACTGGGAAGGGATGAAGAAGGAAATCACTTCAACATGTCAGGAGGTTCTGGGTCACAAGAAGCACCACCACAATTAATGGATCACAGTTGGTACACTGGATAAGATTGAAGAAAGAAGGAACAAGAAGACAGGAATCAATATCAGCCGAATAAGAACAGAGAAAGCCAAGGCAAAAGCCGAATACACAGAAGTAAACAAGAAAGCGAAGAAGGGCATCAGAACCGACAAACGTAAATATATGGAAGATCTAGCACTGACGGCGGGAGAGGCTTCAAGAGAAGGAAACATTGGACAATTGTATGATATAACAAAGAAGCTATGGAGGTGGATAGGACACACATTGAGGAAGGCAACCAACTGCGTCACAAGGCAAGCCCTCACTTGAAATCCTTAGGTCAAAAGCAGAAGAGGAATACCAAAGAACACGTTACGCCGAGAAATAGAGACAGATGAGAAAAATGAACAAAAAGTGGTAGAACTAGAAAGGAAGGTCCAGGACAGGGTGGTTTGGGGGATGCTGGTCGGCGGAACACGTTCCATTGTGAGGTGACAGGCGTACGTAAGTTAGTATGCATGTATGCATGTATGTAGGTAGATAGGTAGATAAGTAAATAAGTATGTAATTACGGAAGTATGTAAGTAGGTAGGTAATTAAATAAATGCGAAAATAAAACTCTTAAGTATTGGTGGAAAATTTTACAATGAATCTGGTCAAAAACGTGTTTCAACTTCACCGGTGCGTGGTTTGTTTGGAAGGCATTTCAATCACATTAGATGTAAGACTTCACACCATAAGGTACCTAAACTAGTAGGTCCTTAACAACCTCAACACCTTTAGAGAGGCGTTACCCGAAATGTATGTATGGTGTGCCACATGTCTCAGATGAACTAAATTACACTTTGAAGGGTTGAAAGGAAGCCAGTTATTATCCGCCATGCCTTGAAGTCGAGTAAGGTCTTTCTGAAGTGAGTGCTTGTAATCCTGGTTCAGAACTTCTCTTCAATGTTCAACATCGTCAGTGCACATTAATAACTCAGACAATACATGCTGAAGATTATTTACACAAAATCACACGGAGTATAGGTCATGGCTCCGAACTCTGAGTGACTTCAGCAGGACATTCTGTAACCTTATAAAAAGTAAACTTCATCTTCATCTTCAAAATTTGGTCACTCAAGGGTTAATTAGACTTTCTAGCACTATATTTTAGTTAGAATCCTAAAATGGAGACTTTGAATAGAGTCTACTTATCAGAATACTAGCTTGAAGTACAAAAATGATCAATTACTGCTCTGAATGAAGATCTTAAATTTATTGGACTGGCTAGTAATGCGATAACTGCTGGTATCCAGAAACCCTACTGCCCCGAGACAAAACACTCTCTCAAACTACAAGATGTACAAATCCACAAGTAATTAACACACTGACTAGAATTAGTACACTCCTGTGGATAGACTGTCACAAACTGAACATAAAAGAATACCTTGAGCTGTACCGAAACAACAAGAAATCAATTGGTATATACAATCACATGACAAAGATATTGGATATAAGAGGTGCTTAAATTAACTGTAGCGTCACATTGTGTGTGATGTCCTTTCAGAGGAGCTACTTTTAAAATGGACTTAGATCAGTGGATATATTATGTCAAAACTTGTAAATACCTTCCAGAAAATGAACTCAGAAAATTATGCAGCTACGTTAGTGAGTTGCTGATTGAAGAGTGCAATGTACAGCCTGTTTCTTTCCCTGTTACCATATGTGGTGATATTCATGGACAGTTCTATGATCTTTTACAGTTATTTCGCAGAGGGGGCAAACTTCCTGACAGGAATTATATTTTCATGGGAGATTTTGTTGACCGTGGTTATTACAGCCTTGAAACTCTCACATTTCTTCTCGTTTTAAAAGCCAAGTATCCTGCACGAATAACATTATTGAGAGGAAACCATGAAAGTCGGCAAATTACCCAGGTAAAATCTGCTTCAACAGCCTTTTTGACCATGTTTCGTTAATAATCATGGTAACATTAAACTATACTGCCGACCTTTGAACGAATTTTAAATGACCTTGAGAAATGTTAGTCAATCAGAAGACAGTATGCAGTAAAAATATATACAAAACCAAAGAATTAAAGTGGAAACACTTCTTTTGCATGAGTCAAAAACTTCTCAAGGTCAGATATAGGTTCAGAAGTTTTAAAATCTTAGTGCATACGGTACAGGGACACATCCATATGGCTCCATAGTAGTCGACCTCTGAAACCATGATAAGGTCTCAAAAATTCTTTTAGCCCCGACCACATAGCTTCAATAATGTTAGTATATTGGTATGATTTACGGGTTAGGGTTAGAGTTAAGATTTAGGTGTAGGGTTTAGGGTTATGGGTGAGACTATAAGTTTTGACAACCTTTGAGCGACGCTAGAGTGACTCTGAGAGTGTCAACATAATAACTAGGACTAAATGAGGGTTATAAACCTGTGTGAAGAATTCAGATTATGATTTACAGTTCATGATTAAGGCTAGGAATTATACTTAGGGTTTTCATCACGAACTGACATCAGCTATAATGCCAAAACTCTATTTATCCAAATGGATAATTGGATTTCGCGCCAAAATCTTATGATCACTTCTATTGTAGACGCTAAATTATCACGTCTTCCCTAAAATCCGCTGTAAACCGACCACGAAGGCTTCTGATTGGCTCGGCAGTATAGTTTAATCCTACCGCAATTTCGGTGAGACTATAATTTATGGACGACCTTTGAACGAATCTTAAGAAATATTAACCAATCAGTAAACAGTCAGTATAGGGTAGAAATATATACAAAATCAAAGAATTAAAGTGGATACAATTTTTTTATATGATCCAAAAACTATTCAGGGTTAGAATGATGAAGCACTTAAGGATCTATAACTGTTTATAAAGTGGCTCTATGACAGGGTGTAAGCGTATGTGTGATTATATCGGCCGAATGTTTTTCCTTCAAGGTCGAAAAACTAATGAGAACACTCAATCAACGTAGAACTTCGTACGTACGTACATCAGTTCGAGTTTCCATACCACATTAGCACAGATATGCAGTTGTCAATTCCAATCTCATAGTGATAGAGGTAGTAGAAGCATAAGCAGTAATCAGGAAGATTTGGGTTTGAAGATGTTATTCAGTAAGTATGATTCAGTGAAATAAACTTGGAAAGAGATAAAAGAAAAAAATAGACATGAAGAATTCAGAAAATTAGAATTTGGTAGAACACAAAGAGTGGATGCACATGCACCATTGCAAACGATTTTGAGCCATGTCATCCAAGGTTCCTAACTATCGGTTGTTATCATCTCGCGGATCCCAACCAGGTAGTCTACACCTACCAACATGGCTCATCCCACTTGTCAGTGACTTTATGGATTTTGTCACGTTTTGGTCTGGCCGACCCTAGATTTCTCCCAACTTACTCCTACACCATGAAACATCGCATGTCGGGGCAGTCGGTGGTTGGGCATACGTCATACGTGTCCCAGCCATTTCAACCGATGAAGTTTCACTACTTCATCAATCGATTTGCCATCCTTACCTAGTACCCGTTTCCTAACAACTGTATTACTTACTCGGTGGTCCCAGGATATGCGAGCAATGCTTCGATTATTATTACTATTTATTATTGGTACACATAAATATTGGTACAAGGAAGCACCAAACAAATATGCGCCGCACAAATCTCATTTGATTTGTGTGAGGGCTGTGATACTGCCCGGGTGCCCAAACCGAAGGGGCCACACCCCGAGCCTTTGTCCTGAATGTCTATTCCACAAGGCAGTAGATCATCTTCAGGAGATGCAGTCCTATGGTAGCCGGTGACCAACGATTGGTTCATACGTCATTTGTTTTTTCAGGATACTGGAGCCCATGCGCACCATTGGTTTGGAATCAGGGTTTTCCAACTCCCGTAGGTGAACTTTCCGTGTCCACCAACCCGGTTAAAGCGCCGGACATTCGCTTTTTGTCCTCTCAACTTCGTAAACAACACCCCCGCCACGAGAAGGCGGTGAGTAGGACTTCCCTGGCAGAGGATATATATTCGCATGAGAGCATTTGGAGAGGGAGAGCGGACTCTCCCTACCCTCGGCCGTACCAGTGCATTTGGGGGCGCAATGCTTCGAAGACACTTATGATCGAATAATAGTAACCTACGAATATCCTCTACTCTCACCGGCCATGTTTCACTGCCATAAAGTAGGACGAAACGAATTGCTGCACAGCAAAGCCGTCCTTTGGTTGCTAGACGGATATCTCCCCTACGCCATAAATGACGCAGGTTGGCAAAAGCTAGACGAGCCTTCTGTATCCGTGCTGAGATTTCGTCACACACCAGACCACAAGGGCTGACGAAACTCTGGAGATAAGTGGAGCGGTGAACACGCTCAACTACTTCACTCCCTATCATTAGTTCAAGTGCCGATGCAACGCAATCCTGAAGTAACATTCTGCATTTCGAGGTGGAGAATCGCATCCCGAACATGTCTGCATAGTTTCTCATTGTGGTCGGAAGACTGCATTTTGTCAGCGTCTTCACCAAATAAAACTATGTCATCGGCGTATTCTAAGTCAACAAGTGAGTCTCTCGGTAAAATTTCGACTCCTGGAGATTTACATGATGAAAGTGTTATCTCTAAAAGCATGTCAACGACAAAGTTAACCAAGGATGGAGAGAGTAGATAGCTCTGACGAACACTTGAGGTGATCAATTCTGACGGATATCTCGCCTACGCCATAAATGACGCAAGTTGGCGAAAGCTAGACGAGCCTTCTGTATCCGTGCTGAGATTTCGTCACATACCAGACCACAAGGGCTGATGAGACTCCCAAGATAAGTGAAGTGGTCTACACGCTCAACTACTTCACTCCCTATCATTAGTTCAGGTGTCGATGCAACCCAATCCTGAAGTAACATTTTGCACTTCGAGGGAGAGAATCGCATTCCGAACATGCCTGCATAGTTGCTTATAGTGGTCAGAAGACTCTGCATGTTGTCAGCGTCTTCACCGAGTAAAATTATGTCGTCGGCGTATTCTAAATCAACAAGTGAGCCTCCTGGTAAAAGTTCAACTCCTGGAGGTTTAGCTGATGAAAGTGCTATCTCTAAAAGTATGTCAATGACAAAGTTAACCAAGGATGGAGAGAGTAGATAGCTCTGACGAACACTTGAGGTGATCAATTCTGACGACAGTTCGCCATAAGCTCTAATTCGACCAGCTGTGTTCCAGTAGGAAGACTTTATAAGGTTGATGTACTTATTTGGTACACTTTTCAGTGACAAACACTTACACAGAACCTCACGATCAATGGAGTCAAATGCCGCTTTAAGGTTGAGAAATACTACGGTTTTGGGGCGTCTGAATGTATGTCTATGTTCTAGGACCTAACGTAGTGTCAATATTTGGTTTATACAGCCACTTCCAGGTCGGAAACCGGCCTGGTTTTCTCTAGTATGCTCTTCACGAGCTTTGGTTAGGCTTCGAAGTATTATTGAAGCTAGTATTTTAGATAGTATATTAGTCAAATTGATTCATCTGTGATTGTCACAGGAGGACTTTTGTCCTTTCTTATAGACTGGCACAATCAGTGATTGGGACCAGCCAGATGGAATTACGTCCAGTTCCCAGATTCTATCTAAGACCTCAGTCAATCTTGCTGCTAGTACTGGACCACCATCCTTAAAAATATCAGGGGTCAACCTGTTAGGGTCTGCTGCTCTCCCTCTCTTCAGATTTTTTATAGCTTTTTCAACCTCACAGAGGGTTGGAGGACTTACATCAATTTGCCATTCAGGACGACTGGGGATCGTGGGTAATTGAAGTGTGGCTGAAGGCCAGTTGAACTGATCCCTAAAGTGTTCTGCCCATCGATCCAATCTCCTGGATTGAGAATGAATAATATGCCCATCTTTATCTGAGATGGTTTCACTGATATTCGGGTTCCTAATACCGGTTTCTTTATTAAGTCTGAGCAGTTGTCTGCTGTTACTTATTGCCACTGCCTTTTCCATCTCTCTTGCTTTCGCTACCCACTACTGTTCACGATCATTACGTAGGCTTCTTATAAGCCTGCGCTTAAGTTGACTCCGCTCTTCGTTATGTTCAGAGCCAGGTGGGATGAGTTTACGAGCATCTATCAGTGCGGTAGATGCTGCCGAGATCCATTGTTTCTCCCTAACGTTATGGTTTACCTTACTAGCGGATATCACTGCTGTTTCCACAGCTTTTCGGATGTCATTCCACGCTGCCTCGGGGTGGACACAACTTACATGGCTGCCTAACTGTTTTTCTAGTTGTTCCTGAAATATATTCTTAGCTTGCCTATCATTAAGTAGAACCCTTAGAGGCTTCCCTGCAGTGTCTTTCCTACGACCAGTAAGACGCAGACAGATACGTGCTCGCACTAGAGCATGATCTGAGTCAAAACATGTGCTCCAGAATGAGTGACAGTCTTCTATTAAGCCCCTTCATCGGTGGCTGATAGCGATGTGATCTAATTGGGTCCAACGTTGGGAAGAATCCGGTGATCGCCATGTTAAAAGATGTTTTTCCTTGTGCTTTAAGTTGGTATTTGCAAAAACAGGCGGTTATCTGAGCATAGCTGCAACAGACGGTCACCATTATCTATTCTTTGAGCCAGGGCACCATAAGATGCACCCAGGTGTCTTTCCCTTTCGTTTAGTTTACCTACTTGAGCATTAAAGTCACCTGCTACTATTACTACATCAGAGTGCCTAGCTTTTCAGAAAAGGTTGGAAAGCTTTTTGTAAAACTCATCTTTTAGCTCTGAGCTGCAGTCAGTGGGAGAGTAGACAGAGACGACGAAGAAGCAAAGACGAGTGTCCCTATCTTTCCGAGTCCTTACTGTTCCGTTTAGTCGAACAGCGCATAGACGACTGTCTACTGGGATCCAGTCTAAAAGAGCTAGTTCTGCCCTAAGACTCAATGCTATACCTACGCCAGAGAGGCCATGGGAAGCAACATCAGGACTTTCAGATATACGAAGTGTGAATCGAGTTGGTTGTTTATTTTGACATGGTGATGTCGAGTGGATAACGCTACTCGGATCTTGTATGCGCGTTTCGGAGATGCAGCACACATTGATGGTGCGGGATTCTAAAGTCCTAGCTAAGGAGACCTGTTGTCCTATTTGGCACAGTGTTCGGACGTTAAAAGCTCCTACATGTAGTTTGAAGCGTGGTGTGAGGCCGGTCGCTCACGGTCTTTTCGTGGGAGCTTTTTGACGTTAGCTCTGTTCTTCAAAGGGCCTTACCGCCGGAGATGGAAATCCGTGAGGTTGGGTGAGGCATGACATTTTTAGGGTCGACCTTTTCTAACTCTTTCCTTTCTTGTGAGAAGGCAGCGTCGCTGCAGATGCTGGTTGTCCAAGGGAAACATCTTACTGCTGTCACGCCCCTCCACAGTCAGCAGTACGACTTCGCCCTTAAACCTTGAGTTGCTGCTTTTAGTCATACCGTTCTCCATTTGACCTGCCTGGCATGGTATAACCTACAGGAATATATGTTCCAGCTAATATAGCTCGGTTGGGTCATCACGATAGGCAAGCTCGACCACCGCGTCAAGGTAGCAGCTACGGTCGGGAATGACCACTCGCTCGTTTACCATTGAATCACCGGCAAGTGAAAGCCAACGCCTCGACGCAGTTAAAGCTTTTTCAAAAGACTCGAATAAGTTGAGAAACCCTCACCTCTTGGACTGGAACAGGTGACGCACTTTTGTCCTTCTCAAACTAAAACTGATTAGTGGAATAGTATTGTTGGTTGTTCTGTCTATAAATCCATTGCTATACTCAGCTTTCAGCCTGTGTAGTTCCTTTGTTTGTATTTGTTCCTAAGTATCTGAGTTTCCAGTTGTACGTTTATAATTTCCACGTTTGTTTACGTTGTATATACACTAATGAAATCATTTGTAATCGTAGTGATTTTAGCGACAGATAAAAATCCGTGACGTATTTGTGAAAAAAAGTAGCTGCAAGGTGATAGAGAGTAGAGCGCCAAATATTGAGTCGAGTTACTTTTTATAAGAATTACTACTACGTATTTGCCTGATACTCTTGATGATCTCATAGAATAGTAACGTAGATACTATTTCGAGTTACCACAAATAAAGCGTATTCACCTCTCACTCAGGGTCACACCCCTCTTCACCTCTAAGTTGGGCGACTGGGCTGTATGATTATCCTCTTTCACGTAAAGTGTGCCTCATATCCAAGTAAGTACCTGGTGGATACGTTAATTTGAAGCTGTACGTTTAGTATGAAAATTGAGACTATACTCATCACTATTAAATCACTCCTGCTCACCAAGAACACAGAGCCTTATCGATTCTAAATGATTGCTTGCTATTGATTCTTTACATTTGTTTCAATAGTAGTAATGAGAGCTTAGCTGATTATGTTAAAAACCGAGCACTAGAAAAATCTAAACAAGTTTGTAGAGACGTTATCTAGCTCTTGAAAGATATGAGTATAAGATTAGGTAGTTCACTATTCGTTAGAGTTGTCCATAGCGATGTGACTGTGTACATTTGACTTCTGACGTTTTCAAAAACAATTAGTTTCTGGATAGAAAGTCATAGAAAAGTATTCCGGTGAGACTATAATTTGTGGACGACCCTGAGCGACGCTAAAGTGACCTTAAGAGTGTCCACCTAATGACTAGACCAAATGAAGATTATAAACCTTTGTGAGGTATTAGAATTATGATTTACAGTTGATGGTTAAGGTTAGGAATTAGATTTAGGGTCTTCATCACGAACTGACATAAGCTATTATACCAAGACGGTATTTTGCCAAATGGTTGGATGAATTTCGCACCAAAATCTAGGACGTGTTATCCTTTACCTGATTGGTTCTCCTATAAATCATGGTCTCGCCAGTATTTTCGTAGGTCTTTAATCATAAGAACTTGATTTTTTCGGTGTCTATCTCTTAATGTGAGAAATGAGTTGTGTTTTATCAATTTTTTATATTAAAACGTTGCGATTATTTAGCGCATACTATGGAACGAATCCCATCAACCCAACCTTTTATCCATAGGCTTAAGTCTTTTTAATTAATCACTGATAGGTGAATGTGGATAGAAATGATGTAAGAGTAGTAGTATCACAATCAAACTGAGACTGTCGCAGTTTCGTGAGCCTGCAAGTGCTGATTGTGTAATGAACTAGAACAACCAATTATATTTTGGTACGAAACTACAGAATTTCTTGGTAAAATTTGAGAACTATTCATTGAATACTTCATTTGCAAAATTCCATCATGTGTCCTTCACGTTATATATGATTCTTCCAAATCACAACTTTTTTCTATTTCTATTTTCACTTCAACCCGATCTTCTTAGCCTTCTACTGCCAGGGTTTCCACTTCCGATTGGTGTTACATACTACTTGTTTCTGTCGACATAAGTAGCACACACCACATACTACTGCCCAAATAAAGTAGTAAAAACTGAATTTCAATGAAATCCGACTCTGTGTGTCTTTAGATTAACATTTATGTTGTTAAAATATTTAATTATGATCCCAGGTATTACCTTATTAGCTGCCTTTTCGAATTCATGTTTTTGTTTAAGTGCTATGGCTTCTATGATGAATGTATCAATAAATATGGCAATGCAAATCCATGGCATTATTGTTGCAAAGTCTTCGATCTTCTTACTATAGCTGCATTGGTTGGGGAAAAAGTTCTTTGTGTTCATGGAGGTCTGTCACCTCAAATCAAAACACTCGATCAAATCCGGACAATCGACAGACATATGGAAATACCCCATGAAGGTCCCTTTTGTGACATTTTATGGTCAGATCCTGATGATGTAGCTCAGTGGGCTGTCAGTCCGCGTGGTGCAGGATACTTGTTTGGACCAAAAGTATGAATATTCAGTTTCCTAGATATAAGTAAAAGTTTGCGTTTGGATGTGCTGGCACATATTTCCATCTGTTTTTTCTTCTAAATAATGTATAACTTTCTAAAGTGTAGCCCATAAGTGGAGTAATATTTATATCCACACTATTGCATTCATTATCAAGTCAACAACGTAGTTCTATCATTCAGATAGTTCCATACATAGTCTACACCTCCATACATCATTCAGTCCGACAGTCAGTAACTCTATAGCCTAATTCCACTTTTCGGCTTGTCCACTCTTGTTTTATTTCCCAACCTTATCATCAACTGATAATTCATTCCATAGTAAACAGTAACTTTTCATCCATAACACAACCTTCGCATCTTAACCAGAAGAGGTTCAGGAACTCACCTCATTACATGCGAACTGTAATTCGAAATCATGTTTATCCTTATGAAAAACACACTTCCCCCCTAACGACATTATTAAGCAGCCTTAGCATTATTGTGTGGTTTGATCACTTTTTGATAGGTAGCTAAGTAACCCATTTATGCCATAAGTAGTATAAGTTGAAAAGTTCTAGGGAAACCTTATGTTTCGATAGCGATATTTTGTCGGCATTCAGCCTATCAAGTGCATTGGTCTACACTCCATTAAGTCTTTTTCTGCACCTTGATTAAATGTTGGTACAGATTAGCCTCGGAGTATCGTTTTATATTACGGAGGTGCATAGATCATATCAAACGTAAATTTTCTCATTATCTTTATAATACTCTGACTATCATTTGCATTCTATTAGTTATTCATTACATCCCTAGATAGAAAACTATTCTGGACAGTTTGAGTCACTTTGACTGGTATATTTGTGACTATGTTAAACAGGATTGGTATTAGTTGCAATTTTTACCGTATATCACTCATCATAAAGAATACGGCTCAAGATCAAGTGTAGAAAGCTATGTCGTAAGTAAGTTACACTAAACTGCGGTTAATGATCCCCTGGCGACCATGAAATTTGCTTAGTTTGCTTTTATTTCTTTTTACTTACTTACTTACTTACGCCTGTTACCCCTCGTCGAGGAGCATAGGCCGCTCACCAGCATTCTCCATACAACTTTGTCCTGGGAAATCCTTTATAGTTGTTATTCATCCTTTTCATATCTGCTTCTATTTCCCGGCGTAGTGTGTTCTTTGGCCTTCCTCTTTTCCGCTTCCCTTCCGGATTCCAAGTTAGGGATTGAGTCGTGATGCACATTTGTGATTTCCTTAATATATGCCCGATCCACTTCCAACGTCTTTTCCTAATTTGCTCTTCAGCTCGAAGCTGGTTTGTCCTCTCCCATAAAACACTGTTGCAGATAGTATCCGGCCAATGGATGTTGAGTATTTTGCGTAAACAACTGTTTATAAATACTTGTACCTTCTTGACGATGAATGTAGTAGTTCTCCACGTTTCAGCTCCATACAGTAGGACTGTCTTGACGTTCGTATTGAAGATTCTCACTTTGAAGTTAGTTGACAATTGTTTTGAGTTCCATATGTTCTTCAATTGTAGGAATGCTGTCCTTGCTTTGCCAATCCTCGCTTTTACATCTGCATCAGATCCTCCTTGTTTATCAACGATGCTTCCCAGGTACGTGAATGTTTCCACCTCTTCCAGAGTTTCGCCATCAAGTGTGATTGGCTTGGTGTTCTCCTTGTTGTATTTGAGAATCTTGCTTTTTCTTTTGTGTGTGTTGAGGCCTATTAATGCAGAAGCTGCTGCTACATTTGCTGTCTTCATCTGTATTTGTTCGTGTGTATGAGATAGGAGGGCTAGGTCATCTGTGAAGTCCAAATCGTCTAATTTATTCTGAGATGTCCATTGTATTCCGTGTTTCTCCTTAGATGTCAAGGTCTTCATAATCCAGTCAATCACCAGAAGAAAGAGGAAGGGAGAGAGTAGACAGCCTTGTCTGACTCCTTTCTTTTGTATCTTGATGAGATATCCTTCTTTCCAGTTCGTTGTCACTTGTTCCTCTTCCCAAATATTCTTGAATAGAAGGTGAAGCATGTTTTCAGTAACTTCAATGTCTGACTTCAGTGCTTCTGCTGGTATATTGTCAGGTCCTGCCGCTTTCCCACTTTTGATTTGTCTGATGGCCATCTTGACTTATTCGATCGTTGGTAGAGTGACATCTATAGGAAGGTCAGTGTGTGCTGCTTCGATGTCCGGTGGATTCATAGGAGCTGGCCTATTCAGCAGTTCCTAGAAGTATTCTACCCATCTTTCCTCTACTCTTGAATTTCTGTGATTGTCTTCCCTTCTTTGTCCTTGACTGGTCTCCGGTTTGCTATATCTCCCTGCCGATTTTTTCATTGTGTCATAGTTGTCTCATATTCCCTTCACTTGCAGCTTTTTCCGCCGTCGTTGCTAGTACTCCCATCTATCTATGCTTGTATGTTCTAATGCTTTTCTTCACTTCCTTGCTTGCTTCTGCGTAGTCTGCTTGTGCTTTGACTTTCTCTGCTCGTGTTCGGCTGTTGTTAACAGCTAGTTTCTTGTTCTTTCTTTCTTGAATCTTTTCCAGGGTTCCCATAGAGATCTATTCCTCATGATGATGCTTTTTGCAACCCAGCACCTCCTGACACGTTAAAGTTAGTACTTCTTTGATCCCTTTCCAGTTGTTCTCCATCGTAGTTTCGTGTTCTTTCAGTAGATCCTGTAGAGCTTGGAACCTGTTGTTGAGAGTTATCTTGAATTCGTTGAGCTTGTCAGTATCTCGAAGGAAGGCTGTATTGAACCTTTGTAGTGCTGTTTATCCAGTTGTCCAGTGTTTCTTTAGTTGCAGTCTTATCTTGGCCACAACCAGGTGGTGATCTGAAGCTATATCAGATCCATGTAGCTTTGTGTATGCGCTTGTGTGGGAATATTGTGCCGCCTATAACCAATTTGTTGAATGCACATAGATTTGCAAATCTCTCCCCATTCTAATTTCTCTCTCCTAGTTCATGTCGTCCCATTATATCCTCATATCCTGTGTTGTCCACTCCAACTTTAGCATTTAGATCCCCCATCAGGATGGTTAGGTCCTTTCGTGAGCACTTCTCTATAATTGATTGCAGCCTTTTATAGAACTGATCTTTATCATCGTCGTTGTTGGGTGTATAACATTGGATAACATTCATTTTGATTCCTTCCTTCTTTGTTTAGAATGATGCTTTGATTATCCTGGGTCCATGAGATTCCCATCCTACAAGTGCATTTCGTGCTTCTCTGGACAGCATTATAGTAACTCCTTGAGTGTGTGGAGCATTTTCCCTTTCGTGACCGGAGTACAGCAGCGTCTCTCCCGTACTTAGCCTTTGTTATCCAGCTTGTATCCAATGGGTTTCGCTGATTCTGAGTACTGCCAAGTTGTATCTCCTCATTTCCATTGCTATTTGGCTGGTCTTCCTTGTCTCCCATATTGTTTATACGTTCCATGTACCTATAAAGAGTGTTGCTCAGGTTGTTAGAAGGTGCATTGGCCTCGTGACTTCCGAAAAATTTCGGCTTTCATCATAAGGCTTTGTAATTCTTCATTCGAATCGGAGGGCAGAGTTTAAATGGTTTGAATTATTTTTTTCTGGTTAGCGTTTTTTTAACGAGTTAGTTCTTCTACGGGATGGGGTTGCTAACCCCATGCCCAACCCTTCTCCTTTACCCGGGCTTGGGACCGGCAGTAACTCTAGAAGAGCTACAGGCGGAGTTTTTATTTTCTTTTGTCAAACAATAATTACTTTTCGACTAACTTTCAAACCTGGGGTCTTGGAGTCTATTTTAGTTAAAGTGATTACTTTCCGGATGTGGCAGAAACATTTTTGTTATTTCCATCATGTGACAGTGATAGTTTGTTAAGATTAACCTGTGAAGGAATTTTTTTGTCATAACCCGACTAATACTTCAATTAATCTAATTAATAGAAGCAACTTAGGTCTATATTAGCCTAGTGTATTAGTTGGATATTGGTTATTTCGTGAAGTCAGTAAGCTGGATTTGTTGCTTGCTCGCTACATATTTTAGTAAACAGGAAAAGTAATTTGTTTAGAGTATACTCATGAATTTCAGCACACTGTTTGTTTTGTTACTGTGATGTTGGATTGCTTTAAATCATTGTATATGAAAATCTGAACATGGTGAGTTTATTTTGTTACAAAATGATTGTATTTTTCCGCTAATAGTCTGTTTGCCTTATATTCAGAAGTATACATCTATATAAATCTTTCCAATGTTTACTACATTTTCCAAATGTTATAAAGTTTTTTAGAAATAGCACTAAATACTCACTATTGTTATCATCTTTGTGAATCACTTTCAGGTCACTCATGAATTTGTTGAGTTAAATGGTTTAGAGTCTATTTGTAGAGCTCATCAACTTGTGCATGAAGGTTACAAGTGTATGTTTGATGGACGGCTAATCACTATTTGGTCAGCTCCAAATTACTGTTATCGTTGCGGAAATATAGCAGCAATTTTGGAGTTTCAGAGTCCGACACAATTTGACGCCAAACTTTTCGAGGCTGTACCAGATGAAGAAAGAAGCAAACCTCCTTTAAGAATTACTCCTTACTTCTTGTGACATAATTTAATTCAAAACCTTAACTTCTTTTTCCAGCATATAATAATTTTTTTGTTAATTCCCATTAACATTACGGTCTTTAACTGCAGCTAAAAAACAATGTGTTGCAACGTAAAAATAGGCAATAAAGTTGTACAGATCTCTAAGATTTTCATACAAAAATTCATGTATTCTTTTTGTAAATTTTTCAAATCAATACATCATTGGAACTAAAGAGACTCAACCTTGTAAATCAGTTTAAACGTTTGATCATCAAAGATACATTATGTTTTTATTTAAATACGGACTCAGTACACTACATAAAATATAACAATATTATGAATATACAAATTTAAAAAATGAGCACATAATGAGGACAGTCAGAAAGAAAAGATAATCATAAAGTACAGTGGACAGGTTGTTATAGCGTTTCTCCAATGTTTTGCATTAAAATTTGATAAGAATGGATACAGGTGATCCAAGAGAGACAGTAGTCCTGTGTTCATCTACCCTGTCAATTGCTGAACGCTTGGCTCATTTCAGTTTAGACATGATTGACAATTAAGTCTCTAAACAAAGCATCGCTGAAGACCGCTGGAAATCAAGGTTGACTGTAAATTTCGGTTTAATATGAACAAAACTAAAGAATAAAGCATTTTACACTTAAATAGCAAATGCTTTTTTCTCATTCTCTGCTTTTAGAAATCCAATCTGCATATTCTAATTTATAACTGCAACCAAGTTCTTGTCCAGTCTATTTGATGAAAATCATCCTGACGGTAGCATTATCTATCTTTGGTTGCTTTTAGATTATAAGTCGTTAAGGTCTTTGCAGGTGGTATGTAGTTTCGCCACTCACTTATTACTGTAGTAGGGGACATGACTAACGATCCCCATTCCAGATGAAAACGAATGAGAGAATTCTGATTTAAACTGCCACTTCAGGTTTCATTTATTTGTATGGATTTTTCACCTTTCTCTTTCACTTAAACAATTATTACACTCTTCGAATATTAACCCACATTCTTAGGTAACACTGAGCCATTCGCTGAAAAATATCGGTTGTTATCATGCGCTACCATACAAAGACTAAGTTGCGTCAGATGATCATTTATATTAAGCAACTTGCTGATGTGTATTATTGTTTGATATTTGTGAAGAATCCTAGTTTTTATCTCGAAAACTATTTTTGTGTTGAAAGAATCCTCATAATACTTCAAAATGAAATTATGTAAAATAGAAAATATTTCAAGCACATACCCAAAAGGAAGATACAAAGATTCTATAAAGAGGACTAGTCAAAACACCTACGTATCCACACTAAAAAGTGTATGGTATACTAAAATTACTTCCTGTATAGGTGTTGGTCAGGCTGAAACAATTTTAATTTACTGGTCCACTGCTGATTACTGAAAATATGACTTGGTTCTAAAGTATGGGTTATGATAGCATTGTAATCAGAGTCATGCTCCTGCTGTCTGTGCATGTAATAGGGTCATCACGAAAAACACAGTTGATAAGGCTGTGACAGTGTGCTATTGTAGTGTAGTGCTTCGTTAATCGATCGTCTCGATAACCGTTATTATATCAATCTGAACAGTGTAGAATATCAGGAGACAAAGGGAAGTGGCAACTACATATTTATTGACAAATAACATAGTCTAGAAGGCAGTAAGCACATGAGTAAATGTTAGCGAGCGAAGAAAAAGTAACATACATGGGAGATGGCTGGTAAGCCAACTCGTTATAAGCAAGCATTAATCAACATTTATAGTCAGACTAAAATGAATGACAGACATGTGATAGGTAGGATAAGAAGTGTGCATACACATACGCTCATATAAAAAAATAGTCAAGGTCAATAAGGGAATAATTAACAAGATCAAAATATGACTCATAACGTTGTAGGTGAATTGGCTTGTCCAGAAACTAGAATAAGCTATGTAGGTGTAATATAGTACACGACGTTACACTGCTCCCCACACTATCTTTTTTTCACTACAAGCTTATTTTGGGTCTGAATTCTGGTCTGTCTCGACACTTACGTTTTATTTTTGAAAACGTACAGATCACAGGATAGTTACTACTGTCGAATGTCAAAAGCAAATCGACGATGTATTCATTTCCTGTTAGCTAAATCAACACGCTTTAAAAATACATTGACTGCCAAAGATTCTGTATGGTACTGAAGCTGAACCCAGTCAAGATACTACTTTGTAACAACGCAAATACTTTCAGTGGTTCTCCGACTGTCTAGTTCAAAACGAAACAGATCGCTGATCAGGTTTTATTAATTGTCAATGGAGAGCATATAAAGACGATTTACTACAAATGGGATGAAACTCTCTCCAACGTAGATGTACATATTTGATCCTGAAAATAACCAAATGTAAACTCAATAATCCTAGTAACCAAAAATACCTCATTTTAACTTAACAACTCAGTGAGTAATTGTAGCGATTGCTCTGAAACTGGAGTCTCATGGAGAACATTAATACTTAACTGGACAATTAAAAGATAGATTTAGGCACACTCAGATGGTCAGTCCATAATACAGCGAAATGTGGGTTTTGAACCCCGCATCTGTTCATCAACAAATTATGGTTTGCTGATTTTGTTTCTGCTCTAAAGGTTCCACGGCTTGATAATCGTTATTAGTGTGAGTATAATATCATAGATATGTGGGATAAAGGTACTTCATATCCACGTAAGTTATTCTTCGAGGCACTTGCTCAAAAACATCAGAAGTTTTTTAAAAGTAATCTATGGGGAAGTAAATTATAAGCAACGGGTAACACACCGGTGATCATACATTTCAAGAATTACTTTTCCCAAAAACTTCTCAATTTGTATGTTGACCGACTTTTCATTTTTATTCTTACCATTGTACAACTCTTTATATGGGAGACGACTAAGGAAACGGGGTTTACCTTGTAGTTTAAAAATCCTCATGGAATATTCAAAAGTGGAAAATATTTGAGCGAACAATTGTTTTCAATAACTTCTACAGTTTTAAGTCCATATGTATAATATCTTACTAAAGCCAAAGTAAGGTATTCATTAATGAATTTGACAATGTTATGTGTTAAAGACGTTGAACACTTGCATTTATTACGACATAAATGCTTCAGAATTGTGTTATTTGTAAATTAGAAAGGTCAGAATGATTTGGAGTTAATTGTCGAGTCACAATCAGTACAGTAGTAATATAACAAAGAAATCGTATGAATAGTGGGAGAATTTCATCCTCTTAATTGAAGTAATAAGGTTAATAGTAATAATAATAACAATGTCGTTATGTGAATATAATATGTAATAAGAGGGGTGTTATCAAGGTAATTACGATAAAAAATATTTCATGTGAATTGGGAAAGACTAATAAAGATATCAAGTTCCAAAGAATCTACCTCAAGGAGACAGATTATGACTACTTTTTATAGCTGAAGCCATCTTGATCAAGTCCAGAAAACCGAACTTATTTGTCTAGAATAGGTATGTCCAGCCCCTATATTTACCTTGGCCTATGACTAGGTCACTGTATACCTGAACTTGATATTACAACCCTCCTACCCACCCCTCCCAACTTTCTAGTTATCTTTATTAATCTTTACATTCATCTTTCCCAATTCACATGAAATCAGCATAAAGAACATACCTAGTAATCAATTTTTCTACTGCAAATTTATCATCCTCTTAATAAAATAGGAATTCTTCTACAAACCATTTTTATTATTTTAACCTGAACTTGCTTTCCGGTTATGAAAAAATTAGTTTTTTTTAGTTTGAAGTTATTATACCCTTCATATTAATTAGCGATTTGCATTTATCACTCCAACGTTTCCTAAAGTACCATTTATTGCTATTTCCTTAACTTTGACAAATGACATATATGGCATTTGATATATAAGCACGAAACTGAATTTTGACTTAATTTATAGTCTTTATAAAACCTATATTTTTTCGTTTCAATATTTTTCGGAAATGCTGTTTCACACAAGTTTCAACAATATTTACAAAATCTTTGCGATATTTAAATTGGTTCTGTAGTAGTCAGAAGAATATGAAGTTAATTCTAAAGGAGAAAAAAAAAACAGAATTGTGGAAATAATTTAATAGGTATGTTTACGAAACAGAATATCAGTATACGGTAGTACATGTATTACAAGGGGAATTTAGAATCCACCATTAATGTATTGGGTTTGGTGGTAGAATAATAGTTCATGCATTAACATTTTAAAGTGACGCGACAAAGGTTTTAATCAGAAGCAGAGAAAGATCACCAAATATTGACTTGTAAATTTTATGTTTACGTAGTGAAAATAAAATGGATCTAGAAAATCAGTTTATTTGGACAAGTGTAATACGAAGTTTTCTGTTTTTTAATTAAAAGCTCGAGTTGAATAAGAATAAAATGTCAAAAATGTCAAACAAAAAGAGAGTGCAATATCTAATGTCACAGGGTTCAATCATGATAATAAATATGAACATAAGCGGATATTCACATGAAAAAATCAAAGTGTGTTAGAAAAGAATTGATAATCGACCATTAATGTATTAAGATTTGGTGGTAGTAGATGTTCTTGCACAAGTTTTTGTAGGATTGCTGAGTAGATGGAATAATGCGGGAATACCATTAGTTCCATTGTCATAGAACTTTCTCAGAGGAGTTCCAGCTTTGTTGACTCTTCTTAATATGTAGTCATTTGCGTATAGATGTTTACACTAGAAATGTATTAATGGAGATTTCAATTTCTTTGTCGGCGCATCCAGAGAAATGGTGGCTGACTAGTTCGCGAATAGTACCAGAATCGTCTACAATAGTACTGTTAATTATGAATAATGTGTTTGATAAAGTGAATTCGATTTCCCGCAAGATTTGAAAAACTAAAGTGTGGGTATTTCCAAGTTCTGCTGCCTAGAGCTTTGTTCTTCATGGTCGAAAGATACGTGGGTCGAGACTAATCCTTTCTGTCGATTGAGTATGCTCCAAAGTGCAATCATGTTGTGATGCTGGTGGTGAGGTTGCTTTAATCACTCGACTTTTTTTTAGAGTTTTGAAAGCATCTAGACTCCTATTAGCGTTAAAAACGAACTGAATGTCACTTAGAACAGTGCAGTCAAGACAACACGACAAATCGCAGTGTATGTTGTAAAATGCGGTGTCAATGATTTTTGTGGTGAGTTATAATTCCCACAGTAAACATCTAATGAAATTTTCAGTGCCATTCCAAATTATTTTATTAAACCTCCTATTTCGTAGCTCAATTTCAGCTTTAAATCCTGATACTTAGTGGTTTGGTAGTGATAATTATTCAGTACGTTTCTATCGCTTTTCCTTAAAAATCTATTACTGACGTGGTATGTGGATGTGTTGAAGCTGATTGTAAGTAATAAGTCAAGTATATCATTTTTTGTAGTCGGCATTCGGACCTATTGAATTCACCCACAAAGTTATATTTTTTCAGCCAATGTGTTATATTATTCAGGTACTGAACTCAAATCTCATGTAGCGTTTGACAGACCAAAGCCTCCTTCAATGATTAATACTTATATGATTTATGGAAACACTAGAAGATATGTTTTTTAACAATTCGTAAAGTTTAGTTACTCGTAGAGCGGTCGGTGAGTATATAGCACCGATAGATACTTTGTCGATCTCCAATTTACT